ATATATATATATATGTATTTGTATACGTGTGTTTCGGCGACCCGACCGGCAGGTTGCTAAATTGGAGAATGAAACTTTCCAAACTGGGCAGGTTATAGTATATTGTATATATTAAATCACGTACACCATGTTTGTGCCGTGCGCCATGTTTGATGCACGCTATAGAATCGAAAGTGTCTACAGCATGCCATGCAGAATTCGCAAGATTTACATATGTTTGTATACATATATATATATAACATGCAATATAAAGTGTGCACCACATTCCGTATATGGTATAGTATGTTGTGTACTTCATACCATGATATGTATATATCGCACTTTATGTATTGCATGCTTTATACTACATGTCATATGCTGTATGTTGCTTATCTCTATCTTGTATGTTACATGTTTCGCAGTACCCAATATGCATAACACATAGTGTATTGTACATTGCATGCAACATACATATATATATATAAATATAATTATATATACATATCTGTCATATCATATCATATCATATCATATCATATCATATCATATCATATCATATCATATCATATCATATCATATCATGTCATATCATATCATGCTTTCTGTAGTAGAGTTTAGAAGAACATGTTCCAGACATTAGATATTCCTTAGCAGATACTCGACATTAGATACCAGATGTTAGGTATTAGGCAGTATATGTAAGAACTACACAACATCGTACAATATGGAATTCAGTAACAATTTCTTGCATTGAATAGCTCAACACTCCATTCCGTGTATTGCATCATTGGACTATCGATGCACGTGTGCGTACACCAAGAAACATTATTGCACCATGTTGAATTTTGTCTGTCTGTCTGTCTCTCCCTCTCTCTCCCTCGCTAAATATATATATATATATGTATGTATGTATGTATGTATGTATGTATGTATGTATTTATGTATGTGTGTACACATACATATGCATGCACGCATTTTCGTAGTAATGTGTGTTCATGGGCATCCTGCTACTCCGGTCTGTGGTAGACGGCTCCCCTTCTACCTACATCTTCCTGCCTCAACGGTTACGTACATCTTCCTAAACGGGATTCGGATGTCGGATTGCATCAAAATCTGGAAGACTCATGTAATTTGTAATGGAATGTCTCAAGGGCTTTTCAGACTTCGGGATGTCTGGGTCTTGGCTCGGGGTTTCTTTGCAGACAGCAGGCTGGTTATGTCTTGGAGAAGTACAGCGCGCTCTCAAAGAGGACGCGAAGTGGTGAGCGACTTCTCTTGGGTTCTTGAAGAGGAAGTTGATTCAGGTTATCAACCCTAACCTCCCAGGTACCTACTATATCCTACTATATAGGTCCCTAGGGGCTCTGGTACCCTATTTTTTAGGTACCTGGGTGGTTTAGGTCAAAATAGGGACATAGTTTCCTGATTATGGTAACTTGAAAGGAAGTTGCTTAAGAACAGCCAGGTCTCTTCTAGCTTCGGTCCTCAGGCTTCTGCTGGATTTGGGTTTAGGGGTTTGGGGTTTAGGGTTTAGGGGTTTAGGGTTTCGGGTCTAGGGTTTAGGTGTTTAGGGTTTAAGGGTTAAGGGTTTAGCGTTTAGGGTTTAGGGTTTAGGGTTTAGGTTGGTTTCGGGCTAGCTGCAAGAGTCGGCAGACATCCAGAAACCGGCACGACGGTTACACAGGGCTCTAAGTAACGAGGAGTTCGGAATAGTATCAACTAAAGTCCCTAGGAAGTATACCCTAAACCCTAAACCCTATAGATTTGTAGTATAGTATAGCAGCAAAACAGTTTTCTAATTCTTGATACTTAAGGCCCCCAAGTGACACCTGACATCCTGAACTGTAGACTACGACTACGACATCGTTATCGATAGATCTACGTCGTCGTCCCTCCAAGCGCCCATGGCGACTGCGGATCAACATCTTCGGCACAACACCCGCTGCAAACATTCTACCCGGAATATACACCCTTCACAAAAAATAGAATAAAATAAAAAAAATCTCGCTTAATTCGGGTCTAATCAAGGTCTTGAGTCTGGGATCGAAGTTTTTGTCAGTGGTGGCAGGTTACATGTAGAGTCCCGTCAGCTTGGCCCAGGTCGTTTACTCTGTAGACCCGAAGTCCTACTAAACCGGACTCGCACGATGCAGATCCGACAGAAACTAGAAATTGAGCTTATGTTTTGCAGACCTCACGGTTTAGAGTTACGGGGGGGCAACCAGCCAAACACTGAGTCCAGCCGGCCTTCGCCCCCTAAACCTCAAGCCTCAAACCCTGCGCCCTAGACGCTACCTGTGACCCAAAAGACGTACCTTTCTTTGAGGAATAATACATTGAAACCATGAGTTTGAACCCCAGAATGCTAGGATTTTCTCGGCTGCAGGTAAACCCTAAACCCCAAAACCCAAACCAAAACCTCTCCCTGCAGGGAAGTGCGCGCATTTCGGATCGCTGGCTTGGTGGGCTGCGTGTCGATGAACCTTGCAGCACTTAGACAGGGCCTAGGGTTTGGGATTTAGGGTTTAGGGTTTAGGGTTTAGGGCTCTTTTGTCGAGGCTTTTTGCGGGGTTTGGGTTTAGAGATGTTCAGTGCTTGGGTTCTGGGGTTAAACGTCTTGGCAACTTTTGGGCACTCCCCAGGGTCTGTTAGGTTGTTCTTACTTTGCTGGCTGGGCTTGCCGGCCGACGTGACGACGTAAACTGGGGATGTTAATTGCCCTTACGCCCTGAAACCCCAAACTCTTGAATCCCCTTCAACACTAGACCTCATGCCGGTAAACGCAACAACAGTCAGCCCTACACCGTGAGATGCAAACCCCCAAAGCCAACGACCCCTCACCCCACGAGAAACAGACACTCAGCGAACAAAAGAAGCCACATAGCAGATAGTATCGATGGTGATAGTCGTAGTAGGCATTAATGTTTATATTATAGTCGTAGTCATACTCGCAATCATCTGATAAGAACCACCACCATCACCATCATCTCTCTCGAATCGCAGCGTCCACTTGAAACGCCTTGCGAGGCCTATAGGCAAGCACTTTCGTGCCCGGGGCCCCTTGAGCGCTGTGCATTTGCACACCTACGAAAAGAGCTAAGTTTAGAATGCCCGCGCCGTAGCGCAGCAGCATCCTTCGACACGAATGTCAGCTATATGTACTCTTTTGCCCTGACACAGCTACACTGTACATCAGCCGCGTTCAAAGGTAAGGGTCTGTGGTCACATGTCCTGTCCATACTGGGAATCCCAAGTCTCGTAGCTGTGCAAGGTT